AGTTCTGAATGTGGGTGTGACATTCTCTCTCTCTCACTTCTAGTATTCTCATGAGGTTGCTTATAGTTTGAGCTTACTTCTTCATGCATAGCAAGAAAACACTTTTTAAAATTAAAGAGCATGTTGGGAAAATGAATATTACATTGAGAAAAAAAGTATTGAGATGTTAATGAAAAGATAAGATAGACATAGGTTTGGCCTTGTGTGGACGTAACTAAGTCAACAAATAGGAAACTTCCGTACTTCCCACCACCTTTACTAACACTCCTTTGATTTTCTCTTCAGAAGATCAGTCACCACCTCTCTCACTTTCTCTATGGCTCTCTCATCATCATCTTCTTCCTCTTCTCGCACTTGGCTGTATGATGTTTTCCCGAGCTTTAGTGGAGAAGACGTCCGTGTTGCTTTCCTCAGCCACTTTCTAAAGGAGCTTGATCGGAAACTGATCACTTCTTTCATAGACAATGAGATCGAGAAAAGCCGGTCACTGGGTTCCGAGCTTAAACAGGCGATTAAAGATTCAAGGATCGCCGTGGTTATCTTCTCCAAAAACTACGCCTCTTCAAGCTGGTGCCTTAACGAGTTGTTGGAGATCGTGAGATGCGAGTAAGAGTGTGGTCAGATGGTAATACCCGTTTTCTACTGTTTGGATCCTTCCGATGTGAGGAAACAAACCGGTGATTTGGGAAGATCTTTGAAGAGACATGCCTCGACAAAACAGAGGAAGTGCAAATTCAATGGAGGAGAGCTTTGACCGATGTAGCTAATGATATGCTCAAATTAACCCTTAGAGCTACTCTCTCAAATTAAGAGATCACAGTAGTACTTAGGGATCGAATCCACAAGGACTTAGATTGTTGCACACTAGATTCTAGGTTCAAATCAAGCTAAGGAAAACTAAATAAATGTAATGCAAGTAATAAAAATAAAGCAGCAAATCGATTGTGAGGAGGTTATAAAGCAAAGAGAGAAACGCTAGGCCTTGGGAAATTCGCAGGTGAATCCGAATTGCAAATCTAGACAGAATGTTAGGAGTTTATTAAGCACTGTTCTTGAACTTGAAACACTAATATAAAATCAATCAACTTCCGCTGCAGAGATTATCTATGTCTAAATCCTAGAATTCCAAATTCCTTTGCAAATCCTATTAATTCAAACAAGCATTAAAATCAGGTTCAATTGTTCACAAAAATCCTAAACCAAATTCATTTGCAGATAGGAATTTTGCTCATCTAAGATTAGTTCTGGTGATTAACAATGTTTCCACATCTATTAAACAACCTAAGATCAAATTCTAGGTCATGAAGCTAGAATAAGCATTAAACACAAATCAAGATGAAGAACTCTAATGATTTTATCTTAACAATTCAATTCAACCTAGCAATTCATCATCACCTTTGAAAAACCCTAAACCTAACAAGCAAACTACTCAGACATGATCAATGAAACAGAAATCATAATTTGAATAGAAAGCATAAGAGAAATCAATAGAAGAAATAAAGGAGTTTAAAATCCTCTTTAAAGGAGAATGATTTATCTCTCCAAAAACTCTCTAAAAATCTCTCTCTTAATCTCTTTGTAAAATAAAGCTTAGGTCTAAACAATGACCTTAAAATCCTATTTATAATGCCCAAATACGTTTTGGGGCAAAACTGTAAATAAGTGAACTTTTGGGCAAGTTTTCTTTTCTTCAAAAATGCTGAAACACGCGTCTCTTTGTATCCACGATTGGTGTCGATCGACACCAAGGAGTGGTGTCGATCGACACCCTGCTCCAATATGCTCTCCGGGTTGGCTTTTTCAGCATCATCTTCAACATAGCTCTAAAAGGTCCCAAAATCTCCAGTTATGCTCCAAGCGTATCTGAGCCTACAAAGACTCTAAAAGACTCAAAAAATACCATAACGGCTCTATAAAAAGGACTTATATCATGGTCAAAAACTGGTCAAAACCATGATATATCAGCTAACATCGCCGGATATCATTCTGTGACTTGGTACGATTTGAGAACTATTCTTTTTGCTTATATATCCTGATTCTTGAACAAAGCACAAAGGTTGTTTCATGTTTGTGAAACTATCTCTCTTTTTTTTTCTTGTTAGGGGTAACGAAGCAAAAATGATTGAAGAAATAACCAATAATGTTTTGCACAAACTACTTTTAACTCCATCAAAGGATTCTGAGGACTTTGTCGGCATCGAAGATCATATCGCAGAAATGAGTAAATTGTTGCAGTTGGAATCTGAGAAAGTGAGGATGGTTGGTTTGTGGGGTTCCTCAGGCATTGGCAAGACTACGATTGCAAGAGTTCTGTTTAACCGACTTTCTCGTCACTTTCAAGGTAGCATTTTCATAGACAAGGGTTTCTTATCTAAGAGTATGGAGACTTATAATAATGCCAATCCAGACGACTACAACATGAAGCTGTATTTGCAAAGAAAATTCCTTTCTAAATTATTGGGGAAGAAGGAAATACATATAGATCGACTAGGTGCAGTGGGCGAGAGGCTAAAGCACCACAAAGTTCTTATTTTCATTGATGATTTGGATGACCAAGTGGTGCTGGATGCCTTGGTGGGTCAATCTCAATGGTTTGGATGTGGGAGCAGAATCATTGTGGTTACAAATGATAGGCATTTTTTAAGGGCTCATGGGATTAAACACATTTACGAGGTCTGTCTCCCATCTGAAGAGCTCGCTGAAGAGATGTTATGTCGATCTGCTTTCAGGAAGACCTCTCCACCTGAAGGCTTTGAGAAGCTTGCTGATGAAGTTGCAAGGCTTGCGGGTAATCTTCTTTTAGGTCTTAGTGTTTTGGGTTCATCTCTACGCGGGAGGGATAAGGAGTACTGGGTGGATTTGTTGCCAAGGCTTCAGAATGGTCTAGATGGGAAAATTGAGAGAACATTGAGATTTAGCTATGATGGATTAGGTAGCGAAGATAAAGCAATATTTCGTCACATCGCATGTCTTTTCAATGGTGCGGGAGTCACATACATCAAGTTGTTGCTCGCAGATAGTAACTTGGGTGTTAATATCGGGCTGAAAAACCTAGCTGATAAGTCCCTCGTTCATGAAAGATGCGGTAGAGTGGAGATGCATCGTTTGCTACAAGAAATGGGTAGAAGTATTGTTCGTCTTGACGAGCCTGAGAAACGGGAATTTCTGGTGGATTCACAAGATATCTGTGATGTACTAAATGATGGCACTGTAAGTTTGTATATAGATTAAGATTAAGAGCATGTCATTTTATAGGCAAGGAGTAGTTAGTGTTTGTTAATCTTTTTTATTGATATTATAATTTTCAGGGTACTAAAAAGGTTTTAGGTATATCATTGAATATTGATGAGATTGACGAGTTGCATATACATGAGAGTGCCTTCAAAGGGATGCGTAATCTGCGTTTCCTAGAGATTAAGGAAACAACACCAGGCAAATTGCACTTTCCCAAAAACTTCGACTATTTGCCCTCTACACTCAGGTTGTTGTGTTGGCCCGGATATCCAATGAGATGTATGCCTTCTAAGTTTCTTCCTCAATACCTTGTCAGGCTCGACATGTCGCTTAGCAAGCTCGAGAAGCTTTGGGAAGGGGTTGTGGTAAGTTTTGAAAATAACTGTTATGTTAATATCATTAGTGAGATTGGAATCTTGATTTCCCAACCATGTCTACTGAAGCTCTGCGATTTGTTTTGTTTTGTTGAGTACAGTCGCTTACATGTCTCAAGGAGATAAATTTGTGGGGATCTCTAAACCTAATACAAATCCCAGATCTTTCAAAGGCCACCAATCTCGAAACACTTGAACTTGCGTATTGCTCTAGTTTGGTTGAGCTTCCCTCCTCTATTCCACATCCCAATAAACTGAAGAGATTGAACACGATGGATTGTTCAAATCTGGAGACTATTACAATTTGCATTAACCTCAAGTCTCTCGACTACCTCTGTCTCGAAGGATGCTCACGGTTGAAGACTTTTCCAGAAATCTCAACCAACATCACAAAGATTTTTATAGACTTCACATCGATTGAAGAATTCCCTTCTAATTTGCGTCTCGAGAGTCTCCGTACTCTTAGCATGAATAACCTAAAGGATGAGAAATTATGGGAAGGAGTGCAGGTATGTAATTCCAAACTTGACGCTTTCTCCAACCTCTTTTCTAGTGTTATATCGGTGCAGAGCTAAGTGAGTTGCTCAGATTTTGTCGACAAGATTTGATTGGCGTATTACCAGCCTTACTCTAGGTTGGTCGTATTTTATACACGTGGTGTATCATTGTGGAATATAGGAGATCTTTTTTCTTCTCGCTTTGTAGTTCGTGTTAGATGTTTTATTTTTATCTTTAGATTTTAATTCACGGTATTTTGCAACTGAAGTGACAAAAAATTATCTGTAGATTTTAATTCACTATGTTAGATGGTTGATTAAGATGATTTTGTATTTGGTTCAGCAGCTTACTTTCCTCACGGCGATGCTGTCTCCCTCTTTGGTGAGTTTGTATCTTTCAAATATCCCACTGTTGGTGGAGCCTCCTTCTTCATTTCAGAATCTCCATCAACTCGAATCTTTGGAAATTGCAAACTGTGTAAATCTGGAGACTCTTCCCACTGGAATAAACCTGCAATCTCTCGATCGCCTGGTTCTTAGTGGATGCTCACGGTTGAGGACCTTTCCTGATATCTCAACCAACATCTCATATTTGGATCTAGGAAAAACAGCAATTGAAGAGCTTCCTTGGTGGATTGAGAAATTCTCTAGGCTTGAAGTCCTCGAGATGAATGGATGCAACAAGTTACAATATGTGAACCTACACATTTCTGAACTGAAATGTTTTCGTAAAGTTGAGTTTTCAGATTGCAAGGCATTGACTGGAGCTAGTTGGAATGATTATGACTCAAGAGATGTTAATATCAATTTCACCAACTGCTTCAACTTGGATCAAGAAGCACTGTTTCAACAGAAAACATATCACAATTATCAAGTGAGGTTGTCAGGCGAAGAAATGCCTTCATATTTCACTCACAGAACTACGGGAACCTCCTCCTCTCTGACTGTCCCTCTACTTCACAACTATCTCTCACAACCATTCCTCAGATTCAGGGCTTGCCTTGTGTTTGATTACGACACCGTGGTTGTGTTAGGTAGGGGTCAAAGATATCCTTCGTTTGTTTATTTTTACTTCAAAGGCAGATTTTGGAACAGCTTCGATTCCTTAGGTCAGCCACAAGACTTCCGTGCAGGCACAAATAAGTATGATCTCGATTCAGATAAGAAGGAGACACTTCTGCTTATAACGGACTGTCGTATCCCTCTAAGCAAAGACAGTGCTATCTTTGCTGAAATGAACTACAACCATGTAGATTTGCAGATTCATATTAGTAGTCCCTCTTGGTACAGAATAAAAGAATGGGGTATACGAGTCTTAGAGGACTGTTCATCATCGGAGAACCAACTTGGTAATCCAAACACCCTTCCACATGTTTTTGAAGCCGACCAAGACAATATGCTTAATGAGGCCGCCGAACAAGTTGAAGAATGTGGAGGCGAAGATAAAGTGAAGGAGACAAGCAGTAAACGAATGCGGGTAAGCCTTAAGCATGAACTCAACAGAGTACTCGTACTTATTGTCTCACAATTCTTTTTCGTGGATCTTTCATAAATTTCTATTACTAGTCCTTTTTTTCTGCAGATCTCTTGAAGAAATTTTGAAGATTTGATCTTGAATCTTCGAGAAACCTTCAACGGGGAGGAAATCAGTTCGTTTTGCTGATTCTAATCGAACAAAAAGAATTTTCTTGCTGCATTCTGCCATATGCCTCTCTTTGCTCTCATAAACCACTGAGCCATAAAGGAAGCAGAACCATCTGTTATTTTCAAACAGTTGTCACTTTTTTGGTGTCTATCGAATAATGCTCTGCTCAATCAAAATACTGATCTATGATCTGGGTAAGACGACTAAGCATTTGGCAAGTGTCTGCTGCTTCTATATATATTTTACCAATTTATACTCTTTGATTTCTATGTGCAATAAGTTATGTTTTCCTCTCCTTTTGTCTTCGTTTGTTGTTTTGTTTTCTGCGATACTATAAAAGAAACGTGTGTCACAAGTAAAAGTTGGCGCTTTTTTGTTTGTTGTGTATATAGAACTGACGATTAAAGTCTGAAGACTAGGGAAACCGCTCGGGTCAACAATTATACTATAATGAAAAAAATATATATATCAGAAATTAACGTAAGGATTACTTGTGAGACTAAGTCAATAAATAGGAAATTTCCGTAAAATTGCATCAGAAAAGTCTGAGAAACAATGGTGTAATTTCTACTAACCACTCTCCTGCTGCTGCTAAGTTTTCTTAACGACCATGGTGCAAGTTTTCGATTAAGTATTCAAAGATTGCAAGTTTATTGAGTTGCTGGAGATTATGCAATACAAGGAAAAGTGTGGTCAGATGGTGTGATACTGGTTTTCTACGGTTAGGATCCTTCCCATATGAGAAACAAACCGGTGACTTTGGAAATATCTTTGGAGAGACATGATGCCACAACGGAACAGAGGAGGTGAAAATTCAATGGAGGAGATTTCTTTACCGATGTAAGCTAATATCCTCAGATATCATTCTGTCATGTGGTATGATCATTATTTTTTTGCTTATATTGTATCTTGAGTAAAAAATGTTGTTTTATGTTGTATGTGTAATTCTTCTTCTTCTTCTTCATGTTAGGGGTAACTGAAGCAAAAATAATTGAAAAAAATCGCCAATGACTTTTTAGGTAAGCTGCTAATTCCATTAAAGGAATTTGTAGGAATGGAAGATCATATTGCAACAATGAGTTTATTGTTGCAATTGGAATTTGAGGAAGTGAGGATGTAAGATGTTTAATTTTTTTTATCTCCTTTTCATTGATAGATAATATTTCCGACGGTTAGGATCAATATTTTATACAAGGAAAGGATCGTAGAGACTCTGCACTGTCTTTTCAATTGGACAGACGTTTTCAGGTAACCCAAAAATGTCATAAAGCATCTTATATATTTTAGTTCCACATTGTGATCATTAGCATATATGTGAGAGGGTCTAATATTAGAGGTTATTTAATAGACTCTGTCACTGACCAAAGAAAAGAATTGGATCGCATTAGTTTTCCATACATGACGAGTCTCGTCTCACGGACAAATCTGTCAATGTTTCAGCAACTCTGCTTTCTCTATAGACATATATATTATACATTACAAGTGCTATAACGTAACTAGGACGTGCCTACTCATCTACAACACTTTAGTTAGCACTAAGTAACGTAACCAAAATTTTACAATGCTCATACCATAATAACTCGGCTTAAACCCTTTGCCATGCATATGCTTCCAAAATTAATTTACGGAACTAATTTCTGTTATCGCAACAAATCCTGGGAAAAACAAATCTTACCATTCTCCACAGAAATCTCATGAGTGGTGGAATTCGTCAAGTCTTTATAACCCCTTTGTTATTTCGCATGTATTATTATTGTAGACATTTGAAAACATTTATTAACCAAAAACAGACCATTTCGATTCTTATAGTACAAAATGTATCCGAAAACTTGAAAGTTTTTGAAACTTTCAAAACATTCAAAAACTTTTGTAAGATTTTTTTCAAAACATTTATGTTACCGACAAGTTTTTTCAATTAAGATATAGTGAACAACAATGCACACGCACATGGGGTGCTAGCCTCATCTAGTAGTCTGCTATTATCTTAAACGCTAACTCTGTTTGATAGTTAGTTAACTATGGTTTAATTAAATTTTAACAAATGGATTTAACAAAAAGGTTTAATAAACGAGTAAGAAAAACTCTGACGCGTTGTCACTTTCCCCCTGTATCCCTCTCTTCTGGTCGTCTTTGTTTCCTGACATCTTAGATTCATCTGATTAAGTACACTTTCGAGCAAGAAGAGAAGATTCTTTTCAACTTTCAATCTTTACAGACAAGAAAGTCTGATGATCCATCAGTTTCTCCTCTGATTCTGCATTATTATTTAGATTAGATCATTGCTTTCTCAAGATTTTTTTGTTTCTTCACTATATGTCTTCTTCTACTTCCTCCTCTTGCAATTGGGTATTCGATGTCTTCCCGAGCTTCAGAGGGGAAGATGTTCGTAAGTCATTCCTCAGCCACTTCCTCAAGGAGTTGGATCGGAAACTGATAAGTGCTTTCAAAGACAAAAAGATCGAGACAAGTGAATCACTCGATCCTGTTCTTAAGCAGGCGATTAAGGATTCAAGAATTGCAATCGTCATCTTCTCCCAAAATTATGCTTCTTCTGGCTGGTGCTTAAACGAGTTGTTGGAGATAGTGAAATGTCAAGAAGAGTTAAGTCAAATAGTGATACCGGTTTTCTATGATGTAGAGCCTTCTCATGTCAGACACCAGACAGAACACTTCGGAGATGTCTTTCTGAAGACTTGCCGGAGAAAAACAGAGGATGAGATACAACTATGGAAGAAAGCTTTGACTGATGTAGCAAATCTTGTTGGATATCATTCTAAGCTTTGGTATGGCTTTAATGGAACCATTATCTTCGTTCCTACTTCATTATTCATACTTGTTTGTTTCTTGTTTGTGTATTGATATGTATCATATTGTTAGGGAAAACGACCCAATGATGATTGAAGAAATCGCCAATGATGTTTTGGGTAAACTGAGTTTAACTCCATCTAAAGATTTTGAGGACTTTGTTGGGATTGAAGATCATATGACAAAGATGAGTTCGTTGCTGTGCTTGGAATCAAAGGAAGTGAAGATGATTGGGATATGGGGTCCCTCGGGAATTGGTAAGACTATCATTGCAAGAGCACTTGAATCTAGAATCTCTCGTCACTTTCAAGGTAGAGTTTTCATAGACATGCGTTTCATATCAAAGAGTAGAGAATGTTATAGCAAAGGTAACGCAGATGACATTAACATGAAGCTGCACTTGCAAGAAAACTTCCTCTCTAAGATATTAGATAAAGAAGGGATAAAGGTAGATCACTTAAGTGCCGTAAGAGAGAAGCTAAGGAAGAAGAAAGTTCTGGTCTTTATAGATGATTTGGATGATCAAGTGGTGTTAGATGCATTAGCGGGTGGTGAAGAATGGTTTGGTCCTGGGAGTAGAATCATTGCGATTACAAAAGATTTGCAGATTCTAAGGGGACATGGGATTAAATGTGTCTACGAAGTGTGTAACCCATCTAAACAAACAGCACTTGAGATGTTATGTCGGTCTGCTTTCAGACAAAACTCTCCACCTGATGGTTTCATGGAGGTTGCTTCTGAAGTTGCAATGCGTGTAGGTGGTCTTCCTCTAGGACTAAACATTCTAGGTTCTTCTCTGCGAGGAAGGGACAAAGCGTATTGGGTAAATATGTTGCCATCTCTTAGGAAAGGACTAGACTTTAGAATTGAAGAAGCACTAAAACTGAGCTATGATGGATTAGAAAGAAAAGAACATAAAGCATTGTTTCGTCACATCGCTTGTCTTTTCAACGGCGATGAGATCAGTTACATCAAGCTGATGCTTGAAGATAGTGAGTTGAATGTTGATATGGGTCTTGAAGTTTTAGTTGATAAGTCACTCATACGTGTAACACCGTCTTGGAATGATACGAACATCGTGGAGATGCACTGTTTAGTACAAGAAATGGGTAAAGAAGTCGTTCGTACACAATCCGACAAGCCTGGAAAACGGGAGTTCATTATTGATTCTAAGGATATTTGCAATGTACTTAAAAGCTGCACGGTAAGATCTTTCCTTCTCTATTTCCATAACTTTGCCAAATGAGATATTGAAAGTTGTCATGATTTTAAGATAATGATTCTTGTATATTTTCAGGGTACTGAAAAGGTGTTAGGTATATCATTGGATTTAGATGAAGTTGATAGAGTGAGGATACACGAGGATGCCTTTGGAAAGATGAGTAATCTCCGGTTTCTAAAATTCTATAGAAAGTCATTGGAGAGAAAGAAAGAAGTTAGATGGCAATTACCAAAAACATTCAATGATTTTCCAGAAGAACTCAAATTATTGAGTTGGCCTGGATATCCAATGGAAAGCATGCCTTCTGACTTTTGTCCTGAGTATCTTGTTGAACTTAGAATGCCTAACAGCAAGCTCAAGAAGCTATGGAAAGGCGTTGAGGTAAGTACTGTCCATGAATTATCAGAATGTGGTGGATAAGTCTGCTATTATTACTAGTATGGTTATCGTGACAATACTTAACTTTTCTTTGTTTATTTTGGTCAGCCTCTTACGTGCCTCACGGATATGGATTTGTCGGAATCTAAAAACCTGAAGAAAATACCAGATCTTTCAACAGCGACCAATCTTGAGACGTTAAATCTTCACGGTTGTTCAAGTTTGGTGGATCTTGGCAGCAACTTGAAATATCTCATTCGCCTTATTGTCACTGGATGCTCAAAACTTAAGGTGTTCCCTGATCTCTCCAGTAAAATCGAATCCATCATTGCAAACGAGACAGCGTTTGAAATATTCCCTTCTAAATTGCGTCTTCAAAATCTCGTTGAGCTTCGCATGGAGCAAACCATGAGTGAGAGGTTGTGGGATGGTGTTCAGGTATGACATATTTGTTGAAACTGTTTTAGGGTAAAATAAAATGATGTACATGTTGTCTAAACTATCTTTATGCTTTTGTCTTGTTTCTTGTTTTTTGTTCATGCAGCCTCTTACAAGCGTCACGAAGATAGTGTTGACGGGATCTCAAAACCTGAAAGAGATCCCGGATCTTTCAATGGCAACAAGTCTCGAGACACTTAATCTCAATGGTTGCTCTAGTTTGATGGAGCTAACTCTTTCTTCTATACAGAATCTCAACAAACTCACGACCTTGGAGATGGTAGGATGCTCAAGTCTAGTGGCTCTTCCAATTGGCATCAACTTGAAATCTCTAAATCGTCTCAATCTCAATGAATGCTCACAGTTGAAGAGTTTTCCGGATATCTCAAACAACATCTCGACTCTCTGCCTAAACCAAACAGCGATTGAAGAAGTTCCTCGAAGGATAGAAAACTTCACTAACCTCGAATCTTTGGAAATGTGGAAATGCAAAAACCTAGAGACTCTTCCAAGTGGCATCAACCTAAAATCTCTTTATCGTCTCAATCTTAGTGGATGTCCACGGCTGAAGAGTTTTCCTGATATCTCGAGCAACATATCGACTCTCTACTTAAACCAAACAGCAATAGAAGAAGTTCCTCCATGGATCAATAACTTCTCTAGCCTCGAAGCCCTAGAAATGTGGGAATGCAAACAGCTAAAATGCATCTCACCAAGAATCTTCAAACTCGAAAATCTTGACGAGGTTTTCTTCTCGGACTGCGAGCACTTAGCTGAAGTTAGCTGGCCTGACTATGCACTGGAGGAAGCTGAAGAAACCAATAACACTTGCAGTAAGTTGTCGTTGATCAGTTTCACGAACTGCCTCAATCTGAATCAAGAAACCTTCATTCAACAATCAGCTTCCAAGTATCTAATCTTACCAGGTGTTGAAGTGCCCGCTTATTTCACTCACAGATCTACCGGTAGCACCTTTACAATCCCTCGGAATCATTCTTCTCTCTCTCAACAACCTTTCTTGGACCTCAAGGCTTGCCTCGTGGTCTCTGATGTCGTTGTGGTTTCTCAAGGATCAGAAACCGGCGTCAACCATGAGCTTTGCTTTATTGACATTGAGGTACATTGTCGGTTTAAAGACAACCAGGGGAACTACTCTGGCTCTGCGGAATCAATAGATTTCTCATTACCTCAGAAGTATGATCATCTGATTATATTTGACTGTCATTTCCCTCAAAACCAAGACAATGGTGAATCAAGCTGCGAACAGGTTGAGATAGAGCTTAGTCTCGTTAGTACAGGACTCAGACTAATAGAGTGCGGTTTAAAATGCTGATGACTGCACACCGTCTTCGTACTCTATATATTACTGTTTTGGCTGGTCGTGCCCGGGCCTACTTGAGTACTGTAACGTTTTTCCAAACTCATATTTGTGAATAAACAATCAAAGTTTTATGTAGTCGGAAAATAGAAAAACGTATTGCATGACATTAGTCTTAGGGTAATTCAATACCCTATTAACTTGCTCCGTAAGGTACCATCACTTTAACTCAGGAAATTATTAACTATGCCTATGATTATTTTTTGCACACGCATATATTTTCCCAAAAAAATTACTATAAAGAGTTTCACTCAAATTATATATATTTCTCAATTTGTTAATTTGGTCTCGACTCTCCAGTGACCAGAAGAATAATGGTGGAATAGGAGAAGAAACCGGTAGGCTGATGTATGATCTTATAACGATATGTGAATCGGTAGAAACAAGCAAACTGGTCTCAGATCTTTTTCTTTCTACTTAGTAGACGGTTGTAGAGTCAAATCTGCTGGACTTAGGTAGCTGGATCAGTAGATAAGATTAAATAATTGAATGGATCGAAGAACGCCATTTTTAAAGTTTTGTGATGATGAATTCACAAATCTAATCTCATAAAATTGCACATAAGAGACTAGATTCTAGTGTTTACTAAGCGAATAAATTCATTTTTAACTTAGAAAAAACAAAACAAAACCAAAGTTTATAAAAAAAAGAAAAAAAATATTTTTTCAAAAAAAATTATATATATTTATAATAAAAGAATTATTTTTTTTATAACTTTTATAAGAAATCTTTACAATAAATAAGAATTATTTGCATTTATACAAAATGACAAAATCAGCTAAATTAAATAATAGTTTTTTGCCATCAATTTTGTCTTGGATACTAAATAAGAATCTTTTGACTTTGTGAAATTATGAATTTGAAATTCTGATAATAATTCACATATTAAAACTTTGATTTACTGATTTTGATATTGCATGATAGGCCTACCGGAATTGGAGATTTTGTATGTACGTTATTGTTCTCGGAAATGGAGCATGGTCTATAAACAAATCTCAACCATGGCTTAGTCTCTCACATGTTATTGACTTATTGTCAACAACATATTATAGCTTACATGCATGCATCACAAGACACGATGAAAACAAAGAAAAACAAAAAAGTTAGAAAAGTCAAAGCATTTATTCAAGTTGGTAGGACAACCAACAATAAATAGAAATGATAATTGAATGTACACACATACACCTGCTTCTCACCTGCTCAGGAGAATTTTTCATCACATGTACACACATTTGACCAATGGGACACATGACTACATGAGACTATCTGTGACTTAGAAAGCTGATACATGCTTAGTAAAAAAGATACATCTGCTGCTAAATGTCTTTCTTCTTTTGGTACAATTAAATTAGAAAGCTGATACATGCAGAGAAAGTAAAGAAGTTATATTAATTACTATAGACAACAAAATTCATATATAATTTGTGTTTGATTTTATTTTTAAAACACGCATGTCTGAATCTACATATGTATATACATACAATACAAGATAAGATCATTGGAGAAAATTAGATTAGGTGATAAATTGGAGCGTCGTCTAGGGGTGGGTAATGAACTAATTTTATACTATGCTCGGTTTCAAGACCCAAAGGACTATGGACTAATATAATACATACAAACGCATTAGCATATATATATATATATATATATATATATATATATATATATATATATATGTTGAAAACAAACATTGAAAGAATACAAATATAAAGAAATGAGAAAGTTTACAGCTATGAGTTGAGGATTAAATAATATTTTGTTCGATAATAAAATAATAACAAATGAGAATCTTTTGACTATCGCGAGCGCGCGACCATGAGAGGGTCTCATGTGACTATATAATATAACATCCAATAATTACTTATACACTCGAACAAATTAGTTATCAATCGAAATCGGAAAGAGACAAAGAGCGATTTGCGATGGAGACAAAGAAGCCATTGGAGATAGTCGCGGACGCGTTCAATGACCTGGCGGCCATAGTGAATTCACGGAGACCTAACGTGCCTGTGAAGCAATTCTCTGACGCTTGCTCTCTCTTCTCGAGTCTCTTTGGTATTCTCGAGACGTCCTTCAAGTTTGCCAAGTTAGACTATGTTGGCAAGGTAATTTTGGTTGCTGAGAACAGTGAAATGATTTATGAAAACTATAAGAGATACGATATGAGATCGTTATACTTATACATGGTTCAAAATTTAGTGCAGAAATTATAGAATTTAATCAATGCAGTGGATAATTATCGTGATCATACATATGAAGATAGGTTTAGGTTTTTTCTTTTCCTTTAAAACGTTTACCTTGAGGAGTAATCTCGAGGTTTCTTTTGCGTTTTAGAGCTTGACATATGAGATTCATATCGGATCCTGGACATAATTTAATGAAAACTATTGTACGTGAATGCAGAGTTTGTGGATCCTGATTTAAAGATCAAGATATTCAGATCTATTTCTATATCTATAATAAAAAAGAATAATATTTTTTTTAAAAAAATTAGAGCATGTTTTAAAAATTCTCATAATTATGTTCCAAACTATATATGAAAATCCATATAGTTTAAGTATAAGATATTCTTTGTTTCTGTAAGAAATAATATTTTCTATTTAGACAATAGCTAAACTTTTTATATCTTTAGTTTAATTAATTTTAGCTATTGTTTGCGGATCTAGACAATTGTAATTAAAAAAAAAAAAATTCTACATAATATATCACTCTTAGTCTTTGCAATTGAATTATACCGCTTGATAGAAGTATAGAAGTTGGATAGCTGAGGCTTTGAGAAACAAACTTAACTATTTTGCAGGTTAATGATCTTGCCGCGGCATCGCGTTCAATATCGACATTAGAGGTAATGGTTGATAAAGATATTGAAGCAGGCTGTGTAAAGCGACCTGGTAGTCATTCAAGAAACCTTTTGCGCATAAAGCGCGGTCTTGAGATGATCAAGGTTATGTGCCAAGAGTTGTTGGTTAGCGAGTAAGTCTTCTTATATAGACTCTCTCACCAAATTTCAACACTCACACGCACAAAAATATGTTGCTTGTATCAGTTTTGACCGTTTCTTAAATTGTGTTTTGAATATGATTCACAGAGGTGATGACTCTCTAAAGGATGCAGCGGTTAAGGCTTACAATGAAGTGCTTTTCCCTCACCATCAGTATAATATTCAGAAAGCTTGTGCTACGGGGCTCGACTCTCTCCCTCCCAAGTCTTTTATACTGTTCATGATCGGTGAAACTGGTGAGTCAATGATTATTCTCATTAATTATTTTTGGAAAATCAATCACATTGGAACTCAAATGAGGCATCGATATCGTAACAGTAGTATTATCAAATGCTTTTTTAAGTATGAGTTAACGAAACGTAACATGATATCTCTTGATTCAAAAAATGGAATTTTAATAGAGTAGGAAGATGTATGAAACTCTACATTAAAACTACGAAGGATTTAGCCTTGCATATATATGTAATGAACCACTTTACGTACTTAATTTAGTATATAGTATTGTCATTTGTTACCATCAAGTTCTGACCTAGTAAATCATGCAAGTTATTGAAAAAAAAAAAACACGAAATCTTATATAGTGATGTAGTGTATTGAGAATATGAACCACTTAATTTATTCACTATAAATAGATCCTGAGATGAAAAACAATGAATTTTAACATGATATTTTATATTCTCTGTCGGTTATTTTGGTAATTGACGCAGTCAGATTTTCATTACTACAACGTTTTTCGAGCTATCTACGTATATATTAAAAAAAAAAAAAAAAAAAAAAATCGAAACATGTGTAAAGTGGCTGACGATTTTGGTTTCTTTATGAAATCTTTGCAGAGGAAACGGTTAAGATACATATGCAAAGCTATGTTACTGCATCGACACCAGTAATTGCGTATATTGACAAACTCTTCCTCTCCAAGAACTTTGGTATCGATTGGTGAAGACCCTGAAGCCTTACATGGCCTTGCCCAATTTGCTATTATCTCTCCTTAATGGTCTCTCTTTTTATCAATCTATGCGTATGTAATAACGTTACACCCTCCAATAACTGGATCATTTCATGAGCCACTTTGGTTAAGTGGGAGAAATTTCAAATAAATCATTTTTTTTTATAAATGTCAAACAAATCATTTTTGAAAGATGGTGGTGGTACGTCAAAGCTCTGCTTTATTATTTGAACTTTTTCTAAAACGATTTGCTAACTTTATCCATAGATATCTTAATTTGCTTCTTAGAGACAAGCATGGGAACTAATTTGAGTCTGCTAAACCAAGATACTTCTCTTTGCATCAGAAATATAATCATCTGATTTTATATATTGATTGTCATTTCCCTCTAAACCAAGATTGCAATCAAGTTGCGATAGAGTTTTGTCTCGCCAGTATTCGACTCAAACTAAAAGGTGTGGTGTAAGACCTCTCAGATGTCACTACTCCATCTCTAGCTACTCAGAATGAAGTCGAAGCTAGTGGTGAGGAATTGAAGGGAAAGGAATTGAAAATCTTCGGGATATAGTTAGTGTTTTAAATGTTTTATTATACATGTGTTAATTTGTTTAAATCAGTATCTTAATAACTAAGATTTTAATGGAATCCTTTAAAACCCAGAATTTTTGAATAATAATAGATTTTATATGGATTTTAAAAACCATCAAACTAATAACGGGAGAATTTGGTGGATAACCAAAAAAAGAAAAAAAAATAATTAATAAACTAACCAACCCCAATTTTTGTAGAGAGAGAAATTGGTTAGAAACTGAATTATAATTTTTTGGGTTATTTACCAAATAATCCCTTTCTTTTCTTTCTTATAGTCTGTAAAATGGATATTAAAAGTTGTGCTCGTGCTTATGAACTGAATATTTATGTACACTAAGTTTTTAATTCATGTTACGCACGAGTCTGTATTAATAATTTATTTTTATTTTTTTGGTTAATATTTTTTAAATTATCAAAACTATAATATATTTATAGAAATTTTCTTTTATATCAAAAAAATTAAAACATAATATGTATTTTTCTATTTTTTGTTTATAAAATTATAAAACTTATTAAGTAAAATCATAGTAATGACACTAACGAATTATCCAACTTTGACGTACATATATTTAATTTAGAAAATAATTTTCTTACTAAATTTTTGATGTTTTGTTTTGTGTCCTTATATTTCTATAGTTCTTTTCTTTTTAAAGTTTCTATGTTTAAATATTTAGTTTTTTACTAAATATCTCGTTGATATTGTGTACCTATACATATATAATATATGATATATGTTGACTCGGATTTACTTTTGTTAGTAAGCTACACTAACTGTGTAAAGTTGCTTCTCTATCAGATCTTCAACGAATTTTAGGTAATATATCTATTCAGTTTATAAGATCTATTTTATTTGCATTCAACTATTTGCTAATTTTTGTTTTTAAACATGTAAGATGGTGTGAAGACTTCACATTATCAATGTTGTTTTTTTTTTATCTTTTTGTGTTCTACTCATGTTTTGATTTGAATAGTTTACCTAGATATATTCCAATTTGAACTTGATTCATAGCTTTGTCATATTTTATTATTTAAATAAAATTTTAGAAAATATTGTTCATGTGTTGTTCATGTTGGCTAAGTTATAAGCAGTAACTATGTATAAAAATCAGACTTTATTACTTGTTAAATTTTGAATGTAAAGTTACTTGTGTAGTATTTTTCTTTGTTAGTATTAAACCAGACGCATCCAAGGTATTAGTCTTTGTAAATTTAAATAATATGTTTGATTTAGAAACTTGTACAACATACTATAACTTTATATGGTTATTCATACTCAACACCAATATTTTAGAAATCATGAATTTTCTGGAACTACATTTCAAACTAATAGTCTTCTTAGATCTATTTTGTTATTTTAAATATCTTCGATTGTAATTTTATATTTTATTTTAGTTATCTAATTTTTTGCATGTTTGATATACTTAAAACATATATATATATATATTTTAGTTAATCTATTTTGTTATTGATGTTTTAAATAGGTACCATATAAATCAATTTAATATCTTTTAGAGAAAACAATATATTTGTTAAATTTAATTTTAAAATAAATAAAAATGCTATTTTGACATACTATAACGGGTTATTCAAAATTCATGTGAACTTCTCTTAAAAGCTTATACCATCATTTGCTTTTTTAGTTAATTTTTTTTAGTTAGTTAGCCTAAATATCAATCAATTTTTATTTTATACGACTTTTCTTTTGATAATTTACCTTTCTTGATATTGATTTCTATTTTATTTTAACACACAATTGTTTTGAAAATATTGATAATTTGAAGACATAATTTTATTTTTTACTTTTTGTTAGTTAAATATTTTTATATAGATTTTTTAAGTAGTTAGTCAGATATCAAGTCAATATATTTTTAGGTGTTTTAAAAAAAAAATACATTTTGTATAACTTAATTTTCGTTTTAGTTTTTTACTTAATTAATTACTTAAATAATTAGCATAAATATTTATATTATTTTATTAGTTAAGTTTTTAAGTATTACTTTATTTTTTATTCTTTTACTTATTCTGTTTATATTGATTTTGTTAAATAAATAACATAGATATCAAGTTAATACCATTTTTGTTTGTTAATTTAACTTTCTCAATACGGTCTTTCATTTTAATTGTATTGACATATTGCAATAAATAATTTATGTTTTGTTTTTTGTTAGTTAAACTTTTTTTTATATTGCTTTCTTCAGTAATTAGCATAAAGTATCATTTTGGTTAGTTAAGCTTTTTGTGTTAATTTTCTAAATAATTACGCTAAATATCAAGTTTCAGATGATTTTTTCTTTTGTTAATTTAACATGAATATTTTTTTGGTAGTGCTGTATTTTTAAATAATAATTTTATATGTTTATATTAAATTTTAAGCTTAATATATTTTCTAAATAAATTACTCATATAAAATATATATGCTAATTTTTTTTTAATTTAACTTTTTCGTTATTGATTTACATATTTGTTTTGGTTAGTTTAGTTTTTGTGATAATGAGTTTCCATTTTATTTTGACAAAAGTTATAGATTTGGATTTTTGACATAATTTTATTTTATCTGTTTTGCTAGTTAAAAAAAATTATTTTAATTTTCCATTCTACTATGATAATTTATATTTTACATGTTTTAATTTATTAAAATTATTAGTTATTAATAATATTTAATATTTTCTATGTTTAATGAAAAATGCTGATATAAATCACTTAGATTGAGTATATATGTACTACGTGGACGCTCTCATTGGCCAAAGACATTAACACAGACCACAACTAAGCTATTTTAAGTTAGAAGTTCAGATTTTAATTGTTTGTCGTGATTAAAATTTTAAAATAATATAACTGTGGTTTTAAATACAATTTTTAATTATTTTGTTCAATATATATAATTTTTCTATCATAATATATTTATCTGTTAATTTACTTTTTATTGTTAATAGAAAATAAGATCTATTTTCGAAAAAGCTATTTTATTAATAACTAACTTAAATTTTAAAAACATTTCTAATAACAACAAAAACAAAAATAATTAAAATTTAGAAATTTTTCTTATAATAATTAAAATGAATGAATTTATTTTAATATATAATATAAATTAACTAAAGATAATGATGATGTGTACCAATGAAATTGAATCTTTAAATCCTATGTGGACACCCTTAGAGGTATTTAGCATCAATTTTTATTAGTAGTAGACTAGGCTTTTAAACTCGCACAACGCGCGAGTCTGTATTAATAATTTGGTTTAATTTTTTGTCTCATATCTTTTAAATTATTAAAACTATAATATACTTGTAGAAATTTGCTTTATATAAAAAGATAAAACAAAATATGTAGTATTTCCTATTTTTGTTTATAAACTTATAAACCTTATTAAATAAAATCATAGTAATGACACCTAACGAATCATCCAACTTCGATGTGTATATGTTTGATTTAGAAAATGATTTCCTTACTAAATTTTTGGTGTTTTGTTTTCTATCCTTAGGATTTCTATGGTTCTTTTTTTAAAAAAGTTTACATGTTTAAATATTTAGTTTTTTTACTAAATGTCTCACTAATATTGTGTACACATACATATATACTATATGATATATGTTGATTCATATTTACTTTTGTTAGTAAGCTACACTAATCGTGTAAAGCTACTTTTTGGTTTTCCACCAGATCTTCTACGAACTTTAAGTTATATCTCTATTCAATTTATAAGATCTATTTATTTGCAGTCAATTATTTGCTAATATTTTTTTTTAAACATGTAAGATGATGTTGAGACTTCACATTATCACTGTTTTTTTTTTATCTTTTGTGTGTTTATTCATGTTTTGATTTGAATATTTTATCTTCATATATTCCTATTTGAATTTGATTCATAACTTTGTCATATAACATTATTTAAATAATATTTTAGAGGATGTTGCTCATGTGTTGTTCATGTTGACTAAGTTATAAGCAGTAAATATGTATACAAATCAGACTTTATTACTTATTATATTTTGAATGTAAAATTACTTGTGTAGTATTTTACTTTGTTAATTTTTCAACCAGACGCAACCAAGTTATTAATCTTTGTAAATTTAAATAATATGTTTTATTTAGAAACTTGTATAACCTGTTAAAACTTTATATGGTTATTCATAATCAACACCAATATTTTAGAAATCATGAATGTTTTTGGAACTATATTTCAAACTAATTTTCTTCTTAGATCTTTTTTTGTTATTTTAAATATCTTCAATGGTAATTTTATATTTTATTTTAATTATCTAATTTTCGGCAGGTTTGATATACTTAAAACATATATATTTTTTATTAATCTCTTTTGTTATTGATTTTTCAAATAGGTAGCATATATAGTAATCTAATATCTTTTACATAAATGCTTTTTCTTTGTTAAATTTAATTTTTAA